AAAAAAAATAGAACACCCGTTAACGGACCTTGTCTCAACGTAGAGACAATTGTGTGAAAATAAAATGTGTCCATATAATATGAGCAAAACGATGAATGCTCTGCCAGTACTCAAGGCCCTCAGCTATTCAGTGCAAAGTCTAGAGCTCAGGACATGAAATTGCCGTTGGTTCTCGTTGGACTGATACTTTTATGGCAGATGTTGTGCTAACGCTAGTGCGTACAGCCCGTCCGGGAGTCCGAAGAAGCTGTTCGAATTCCCACTAAAAAATGACAGATAGGCTCCAATAGAAAGCTTAAGCAGTTCGAGTTACATACCTGAAACTCGCCGATGTCAATTTTGACTGGCGGTAATGAATACTTGGGGTGAAGATAGTCATTATATTTGTGAGGAACAACAGGGAGATTCAGCGAGTGTTTCTTCTTGTCCAAATTTGCTGCGTATTTTCGCGGGACTTGTTTTAGCATATCCAGTGAAGTGCTGTAAATACTGAAGTGTTACCCATACAACAGATAATTATGTAAAAACACAAATTCAGCAGCACCTGGAGGAAACTGAATCAATTTCTACGTATTTTGTGTTCCTGCGCGGCGATTTCACTGCGCTGAAGGGGATTTCTTTGCGAGGATGACACCTGAAAGCAAAACCTAGTCGATTTATGGTAATGCCCTTGAAGTAGCTCGGAGTACACTTACCGCGTTGGCACAAGCGTACACCAGCCCATGAAAAATGCAATTAAAACTATAGTATAGCCAAAAAGAATTCCTATAGTCACGTAGAACCACATGCGACAACGGGCATCTGGTGCTGAAAGTAAAAGGTAATTGACTGACGTGATCAAGAAGATAAACATTTAGGAGTACGTACATGTGGCGAAAGACAAAAATGACGCATACATACAAAATATGACTCAACAGCATGGTCTGAGATACTTGTAGGAAAACTTACTGCGTGTAACTGAGGGCCTAAGTCAATTTTTCTGTGGTTGTGCCTTTTTGGCAAAAAGTTCAAAGTGAAGAGGTAAGCAGGATGGCTATTTGCTACAGATCCAGTAACCTTAGCATAAAAGAGTTCGCAAGCAGAAAAGAGCAAAGATTTGGCATGGTAAGTCGCATTCCACTCCAAACAACTCTCAAATAGAAATGGTAGAAATTCCTGCAGCTGCTGCAGCTGGGCTATGTGAGGTGAACTAGGTTGTCTGATATCTCGAACAATCTCCCATCCACTGTATAAGGCGCTGAACTGAATTGTTTGTAAGGCAGATTAGAGATGTAACAAACAATCCACCTAGTATTCGCGGATAATCACTACGACTCCGGAGTTTTTCTACGCTGCTGCAGGGGCTGATAACGTAAAAGTCATAAAAACAAGCAAAACAAACCATGTTTTAAAGTAGTTAGAAAGATGTCAAACTGTAACACGATTACGTCGCATGAGATCGTTAGCGTTTGATTTTATAACCTTACACAGGATGATCCCTGAGATGCACTTTAGCATCAAATACGTTTGCGACGTCATGAACAAGGACGCTGTCAGATAAAATGATAATGCCTGGATATAATCGACTAAGTAAGTGCTTTATACTCATTAATCTTCCACAAACTTTTTTTAATTAGAAAAGAATTGCGTTTTTGGCTGTAAACAGTAGAAACGCACACAAACTTTTGCCACAGACCGTATTGATGAATTTAACACTCTAGAAAACAAATGACTTCGTTGTAAACAACCAACGGTGCCTAAGAAAAGCATCCTATCAATCAGAGGTACGAAAAAATTCAAAAAAAAA